AACTGAGCAGAAGGGGAAGATAAGAACTTCTTGATTAATCCAATTAGCAATGGAAAATCGTGGTGAACCTTTGCCCAACCAGAAGTATGGAAGAAAGAAACACCGGATATACGCACAAAATTCAGGAACATATACGTAAAACAATGGACCGATTGAGAGAGTCCAAAATCCATTTAACTCCAAAAAAGCGCTTTTACTGAACGTTGGTTGCGTTATTCTAGCACTTGATGTAATGCAATGCTCCCCTACCTGGTTGAAACCCTGCTTGAGGCACTTGGATTCAAGACGAGGTTGGTTATCACAATATCATCAGAGCAATCCTCCACTTCACGACAAGTTTGAGTCTTTCCGGACATCCCTTGAGCTGATTTGGCCCAGCTATCTGGAAGATGATTCCAAGTTCACAAAGCTTGTTAAGGCAAAACACAGCCACTCATCATCTTTAAACGACGCCTGGAATAGCTCCTATGGAAAGGCGATCCTATGGCGTTTCAAGGTACAAAGGTGGACCAGTGTACCATAAACTAGAGGTGAATCTGAACACAAACTCAGTTCGAGTTGGGAAGATCAACTGTATCGCATCAGTGTAGAAGCCTATGACTTACACAGACTTACAACTGTTGCTGGAAATATTCCGCTCATACATCTATAGGCTGACTCTGATTATATATCTATATATGTATATATAATTTTCACTATTAAATTTGGTGACATTACTAAGAGCCGATCTCCTGTACCATGTACTTCTGCATAGCTAAAATAGCTTCCATGCATTCCCTGTTGCGCTAGCCTCCCTGCTTCCGGAGCCTACCCGTCCGAAGCTTCCGATTCGATTGGTGACCATTTCATCTCATAAGAGACGAGATACCCATCAGCAGAAACATTGCTACTCCTAAAGTGTAGAAATATGCACGGAACCGCCCACCACCTTGATGTCATCGTTTTCTCGGCACCCAGGTGTACGGATTACTCGGAATAGGATAGAACTGACTATCGTCAGTTGCGAGTCCAGGTAACCAGCAAAGAATAAGCAGTCGTTGACAGACTTTAGTGATAGCGTCGGGGTGAGTTGTGGCCTTGTACTTTATGAGCTTCTGCAAGTATTCAACGACTGTATGATGACAAAGTCAGCATGACTGACCTCAAACAATCGAAACTCAAGGCTAGGAAATGGTGCGTGAACAGCTCCATGTTGGATGCAATCATAACCTGATCCTCAAACGCCTACAATGAACAAAGCCAGCATGTTCATAGTAATACAGGCTAGTTTCTCATCGAACTACTGAACTTATTCGATCACAGTTTACGCTTATCCAATTAACTAGACGAACAAATGTCAGAACCTCCAGAAGTTCTATACTACAAAGCGAAGGGTCTGACATCATAGTTAAAGTGATGTATATACGGTGTACTTCAGTGAGCTATGCCCATCGGGCATGGACTTCCGGAGATTGCGTCAAGACCACTAGATATATGATATTCTTACCCACTAGAAATAGTTGCAACAGAAGTAATCCAATAATCTAAAGTCATTCACCTAAAGGGAGTACAAACAGTGTTCATCACTAAATTTACGATACCGTCGGCGGAAAAGTTGACAATGTGTCGCATGCTTCCAGTGTTTGTTAGTAGCGTTTCGAGACTGCAACTCCTACTTACTATTTATTCTACCCTGTGTGGGTTAAATGAATTATTTAACTAACGCTTGATACCGCAGAACTTTCCCCCGACATATTGAGAAATCATGGTGTTTTCTATGGTTAAGGTTTTTTAAGTGTCGGCAACCGTCACGTTCATCAACCAGATAGCACCCAACTGCAAAAATGGAGTTGGGTCATCTCTCTTCCGCATCAGATGAATAACTAATTGTCTTAATGTAAAACTCATCTGTCGTCTTAAGGCGGACTTGTGCAACCGTATGGTTGAGAATTTCTGCAATAACATTTCACAGCGAAATTCCATTTGACTTTAAACCACTCATAAGAATTCCGGTAAGATGGCTATTCACAGTCGCGGGTCTTCAGAAGTTTTGTATTCTGATTGGTTTATGAGGAGCGATATATGACAGGCGTGAGCATACAGTAGTTCATCTTCAACAAGACCTCCTCCAAGGGAGGCCACTCTGCCAAATAGGACCGCTTATCTCCAATGTTGCGAGACTCTCCTTCAAAGTGATGCTTTTCGAGAGACCATCAGCCAAGTCCCAAAAAGGACCACACTAGGTATCCTAGGGGTCGGCTTAACCTTCCAACATAGAACAGGATGCTGAACACTTGCCTTAGATTCTCCCTTATTAGAACACCACTCAAGTACATAACTGTGTACTGCACACAGAAGTTCGCTGTCGATGTGGCATATACAGACGTGAATTACTACACTAATTTCCACAGACATTCCTTGAGAGAGACCACACTAGCTTTCCCCATCATTAACGAGCAAGTAAGTAGACCATAGTCCACTTGGATAATCGAAACTTGATAATGTAGACAGGGACGTTGAACCCAACGTAAGAAGCGCAGCACTGCCTGTAGATCAACTAACTGACGCATTCGTCTCATCCATAGAGGAATTTCTGTGTAGTCCAGTGGTCCACACGACTAACAATCCACCATCTCTTTGCGCGTAGTTCAGAACATTTATGCTCCCTCATTTTACATGCAATACACAGACAGTAAAACCAAAATTGTTTAAGTATCTCAAAATGTGGTGAGAACCCTAGGATGAAAGCTATTCTCCTGGAATAGACGTACCATAACTACTCGAGAGGCACGATTTGATTCGTGATCCTTTCACAGAGGCCACTTCTCCTAAAACAGTATCCCGCCTGCAACATAAATTAGCTGAAGCTGTCTTCCCGGGAAGAATGTCAATTTACGCTCCAAATATCCTCTCTTTGGTGAAGTATTTCTTTTGTGGGGATGCTGGCATCCAGCTTAGTGATTCCGATATAAGTATTTGGAGTTTTAGGCATTTTCATAGACTAGGACACACGTCAGAACTTTCAGATAGTGGCTTACTGTCTAATGAAATTGTCGGTAGAAAATACATAGAGGGAAGTTGTTCACAACAGCACAGCGCCGTCGAGTGAGGAACTGACTACAGATCTGCAGGTATGTTTGGATAATCCACTGCGGTTATGTGGGAATCATGTGAATGCCGTCCATTTTCAAACAAAGCGGATAAGGTGTTGTCAAAGAATTGTGAACTGGGACGGTCACAGCTGACTGGTTTCATCATAAGGGTCGTATCAAGGGATATCCCGGTAAGACATCTCAGTGCTAACCACGTATATAGTAAAACGCAGACGAGTGTCTGAATAACAAGGTCGTCAACACTAAACAGACCATCCCTGTTAGCTTACACACAATTAAGAACGACGGTCCACAGAGAGTGCGACAGACAATGCTGTGCACGACATTGCATCAATACGTTTTGAAGCTGTGGGCATGGCAACTCAAGTCGGAATTTCGGTAAACTGGTTGCCAAGTACCCGCGATAGTAGGCACATGGTAGCCACACCGAGTGAGACCACCTCCATCACCTCACTCTAGGCCATACGATTATTTCTTAAATTGACATCTCCTGAAAGACTGCCCCATCCCACACAAAGACCGTTCGTAAATGTTTGCGTGACGGAAAACACTCTACCGACAAACAACAGGATAAAAATTCGTTTAGAGAACTTTTGTTCATTAATTTTCCAAATAGGTGTCCGAACGATAGCACGAGTAGATCGTTGTTCCCTCTATGTGACTGGGCGTTCCACAACGTCGGTTTGATCGTCTGGCACACGACTACTACGATTTGCCCCAGTCTACCGACTGTTTTCCAGATGGAACGGTTTGCAGTTGGTTTCATCTAAATGCTTCGAAGGGACCGAATGTCAAAAGAGATCAACTCTGACGATGCTATACACACAGTCTTTGGCGTAAGAACAACTTTTCTTCCCTAGAAAGGCAACTTGAGAAGATCGATCAAAGAGTTCATTTATTTCAAAGGGACGCTATTGTATACTTGTCTTCTTTTTTTGAGAATATTTCAAAGGGTGAGCCGAAAAAGATCTAACCTGTGATTTGGTCTCTTTGAGGAGGGGCTTTACTACTGAACTACGCTCCATATACCAAATGGTGGTCTTTTTGACGCTCGGTCTCCCCAGAGACAAAATCTTGCAACAACATCAACCTCAGGAGATAGCTATAACAGAACCCTCGACCGGAGTATAGATTGATGCTACCACACCATGCACATAGGCTTCACACTCGTCTAAAATTTAACATAATATTTAGTATATGTATATAATTTAATATAATTGTGTAGACCTACCACAAGTAGAGAAAGCCAGCACGTCCAACACTAGACAGATTCCCATGTAATGAAAATATTTACAAAGGCATCATGCAAGACTTAGACAAAAAACAGCCTCTGGTGTAAATTCAGTTAGCTCGTGTCTATTAGCGACCCCCTAAAAACTTTGCTAACTTGGAGGAAAATCGGTCATAAGGTTGCTAAAAACTCGTCGACAGTCCGCGATCGGCTTCGCCCTCCTTGGTAGGTAGGCGCATTCTCCAGATTTCGGTCAACCTCATATCCTGCTTGAAGCGATGCACTGATCAAAGGTAATCAGATTAAGGAGCAACCGGAGATTTTTGACAAATTGTCTTTAGGACAACAGTTCACATATCTGGCTCGAATTTTATGACCTGAATGTAGTTGTTCTCAACGGAAATGAGGTGATGTGCAGAAACCTTGTTTGGTTTCCCGAACTAAGGCATTTCTGAACAGTAGGGATATATGGAATTTTTAAACCGATTGTGGTTCTATGGCTCAGAATGAACAAGCAGAACTGAAATGCTTAGTTCGACTGGCGTTAATTTTTCAAGTTTGTTTAGGTTTCATCATCACAGCTTTCGGTCCGTTCCTTGGACTGAGAAATTTGTTTACGGCAGTGAAGCATCAGTGCCAACACTGATGTTGCTGTCTTTGATGATGATTTATTTAAGATATCACCCGCACGACCTACCAACATACCTCTCGACGGACGATTACACGGCTATCGCTCGAAGAAATCTAACGGTCGACTGCGAGTCAAACGACGACACTTAGATGTTGTGAGTTCAGAAATTGCTTCGACCAGAGTAAACAAGGAGTGCGTATGTACTACTCCAGTTCCACCATGGTTAGCAACAAACGACGATAGATGTTGTGAGTTCAGAAATTGCTTCGACCAGAGTAAACAAGGAGTGCGTATGTACTACTCCAGTTCCACCATGGTTAGTTAGCA